TGTTCTGAGACCGTGCTTATGATTTATGGGGATTAAAAAAAGAGGAGTGGTGGATTTTTATCATTATTGGGTGGTTGTGTACACACACTGCCAACAAACATTTATGTTCAAACACCATGTAAAAGTGAATTTTGCATAATAGGTCGCCTTTAACATCAATGATCAATGTTTGGACATGCAAACACTTCAAAATCTCTTCGTTTGTGCTTCATTGGAGAAAGAAAGTTATATGGATGGATAACAGAAAACGCATTGCGCTTATCGCTGTGTTAACAAGAACAGAGTTGTCTCTATTAGTCAACAACGAAGGGGACATTGACGTTGTTCGTGATGTCAGAGATTGTACATGCTCTCGTTTTTCTCTCAGACATAAATTCGATCTTTGTAGATCAGAGTGAGTTATGTGAGAACATATCTGGAGAATCTCCCTCCAGTGTCATGCGTGAAACCGGTGACATCCGTGAACTTGAAGTAACGTGCTCCTCCTGAAACTGAAATTAGATGAGCTATTTGAGGGGACTTGCCGTTTCATATTAGGTGTAACAAGTTGAGGACAAAATGCAAACCTGTCCGTGTCGCACGAGAAAGAGAGAACACAGTTATATTGAGAAAAGCAGACAGAGATGACTGGAGATAAAAGACCTCTATCGTCTGATCCTTTCAAACAGTAACAGGCCTTCCGGAAAGAGAAGATTCATTCTGCATTCTCATTGAACTCATAATTAGATGAGTGGACACGTGTCTTCAATAACGTGGAGGAAACGGCAGGACAAATCTATCGTGAGCTCTTTATAACATCAAGTCAGGCCAGTTTTATTTACACTTTACAAAATGAACATTGCTTCAAAGCAGCTTTACATTAAAACACTGAAGTGTTAATGTATGAAATGGATACATATGTAACATACAGCTAACTGATGGCAGCTGAAAATTGGTTATTGAAACAACAGACTAGTCACTGTTTTCTGCCTGATAAATGGAATAAAAAAGACAGCAAACAACAGTCATTAAAAACATGGCTTTGGATGTGTTGGAGACTCTTAACTCAGGATGAAGAGCTTATCAGGGTTCACTGTGAAGGGATTGAATGTTTCAGTCTTACTTATGGACTGTGTTACTGTAATCTTAACATAAATCATAACTGCTTTCAGATCATGCATTTGACATCATTTGGAATGGAATAAAAAAACTGGTTAAAAGTTACTCATGTTGTTCCAGCACTGTATGGCTTACTTTCTTCAACTGAACAAAAAACGTTTCGAAGAACACAATTCTACTGAAAAACAACAGTTTTAAGTGAAGAACAGAAGTCATCATCACTCACTGATAATAAGATACTGCATTTTGCACATTTTGCACTCAATGCTTCACCTCTTTGATCCCAATTCAGGTAAAAAAAAAGTGAAATATGAGCAAAGCCACATTTGACATCCAGTCATTCTGGTCCTGCTTGATAAACCCTTTTAAAATGTTTAGGTGAAAAGAGACGGACAAGACCTGATGTGCAATTATCTTGTTTCTGAGGCAGGGTGTGCGAATTGCAGAGTAGCCTATATACTTATATTGTTTTTTAAAAATAGTACGTGAAGCAGTTCGCAACATGAAACCATAAACTTACTGGGCTGCATGTATAATTCATGATATAGTTAGCTATTTTCTCATTTATTTAGTTTTTTCCCACCTTTTTGTGTAAAAGAGTAAAACTTTTTAGCGTTCAAAATGCAAATAGCATAAAATTAATTGTATACATACATATCGCAGAACTAGTAAGCAGTTTGTTAGTGATACACACAGTCATAGTTATCCAAGTACTCTTGATTCTGTCTATACTGGGGATTATTTGTGCGGTAGCGCCCTCTACTGGAGGTGCACAGTCTGAGCTCTTAATTGGAGGATTTGGGAAACTGTTTCTAGAGGAGAAATCCGAGCCGGTCAGGCTGTTGATGCATAACATGTGCATGCACTTTTTAAGGAAATAATGTTTTAGGCGTTGTCACTGTTGTTGTTTTTTCACCACTAACCTGCAAGTCATAAAAGCTGCATGAACAATTTTAAAATAATTATCAAAATACTGTTTATTAGAGTATTGCATGTTACACCACAGAGCATGTGTGTTTCCCAAAAGTGTTAATGCCAAGTTGTCAACTATACCCTAATGTCAGAAACAGACAGAATGCATGACAAAATATTATGATGCAACATTGAACATTTACCCCCGGTTTCACAGACAAGGCTTAAGACTAAAATGCATGTTTGAGCTGTTTTATCTGAAAGCAACTTGACCCGATATATCTTAAAATATGTCAGTTGTCATTGTTTTGTCTCATAGCATGTTTATAAATGACAAATGAACTAAGGTCTAATCCTGGCTTAATCTAAACCCTGTCTGTGAAACCAGGCCATAGTCTGAGTTAAAGTTACAGAGAATGGACACGTACCAGTTGGAAGGGTCTCTTTACAGCCACAGGAGGGCTCTAGAGCGAAGCGTTCCTAAGAGACCAGGGAGCTGATCGCAGGAATGGGAGAACATGAGGAGAATCCCTTGGCTGAAGCATGAGGCCAGCTGTGAGTTACAGGAGTTAACCCAGTCAGAGCACCGATTATCACCCTAATAAATCTTCCCTCGCTGTTTGTACAAATAAAACTTCCCTGACTGGGAAGGCATAAAACTTCACAGAGCGGCTCCCTTGGACAGAAGATGGGCACCGCTATCCCTGACATCCTAATGGTTTCCTCTCTTTCTTTGAATAAAAATCCTGAATGAAAGCCCCAATGCTCGGTGTGTGTGTGTGTGTGTTTGTGGACCGGACTACAAAAGCATTGAAACTCACTATAAAGTTCAGCTTAGGAGGTATAAACTGAACTGCAGAAAGGGTATGATACTGAATTGAATATCAACAGCTCAGAAGGGGACACTTGAGGGAGAAACAGAGAGAGGGACGGAAGTTGAGTAGGAGAAAGCAAGTGAACCATGTGTTCAGTAAACAAACGGAGTGTGATGCCAGAGAAAAGGGTCAACAAAGAGAGGGAACAAGGAGAAAAAAGCCTCTTCCGACAGAGCCAAAAGGAGTCCTGACCGACTTACATCACCTCTGCTTCCTTTTGCACCTCATTCTGTTCTTTCCCATCCATCCTTTCCTCTCTTGTTTATCTACATCCTCTCATTTGCATCTTACATCCCTGACTGGGTGATTCAGGTTGATTGGGACACTTTTTCTCAACATCTCAATGGCAAAAAGTGTTTCAATCAACCTGAGAACACCTTAGGCTACTTCGTTTAGCCTTCTATTCGTTTTTTATGTATTTATGTCGATTAGGGTAGATTTCATACTCAAGTAATGAGGTCTTGATTTTGTTGATTCTCTAAATAAATATTGAAACTTACCTAAACCTCAGGTTCTTTCTGGCCCAAGAAAATCGCGCGCTTTGGCAGATGGGCGGGAACTCGAGATTGATGCGCGTGTGAAAAAGAGTCCGGCAACTGTCTCGTGCCGTCGCGTGAGGATGAATGTGTCTGCTCCGTCTATAGGGCACGCGGTAAATTTAACTTCCGCCACAACAAGCTTCATCACGTTGTCCAGCCTTCAGAAATAACCTTTAGAGTGTAAATAATTAAATTTCATTAGTTGGTATGACAGACACTTGTTATTGTTCAGCCTAGTTTTTAGATGGTGACGCCAACAACAAATAGCCTTTCAACCGCCACAGCTTTTATGTGTGATGGATAACCATGTTTAGAAAAAGTTTTGTTTTAAAATAAAAATAAAAATACCCATTATTACAGTGTCTGCTGCCTTAACTTCAAATCAAGCGCGACGCCATTTTTACGTTTTTGTGAATACATTCTGCTGCTTGTATCAATTCTGCTGCCCCCCCCCCCCCCAAAAAAACAAACAAACAAACAAATATGTGACATAAATTAGCTCGCTTTAAAAATTAATTTAGGCTTTTTTTCCTCCCATAAATGTTGGGTTGTGTGTGTGAAAATAAGACCTTACAACTAAGTTATAACCCATTGGCCCTTGTACCATTAAACTTCTATTCTTTAGCCTACAGACAAGTTTTAATTAGAAAAAATGGAGAAATAAATATCTAGACGCTATAGTATTTATTTAAAAAAAGGTTTAAAAAAATAATCTCCACATTATGCTTAAATTAAATAATTAAAGCTACAATTTTAATTGGCCTTTTTTTTTTTTTTTTTATTCTTTTAGTTGTTAGAGCAATAAATAGTGTTAGCCTACATAATACAAATAGTCTACCTAATAATTAGTCATTCTTTTTCTCTGCCCCTTTCAGCGCCTCTTTTCAAAGGTTTGCACCTGTTTTCTGCGCACTTATTCATGCGGACTTGGATCGACTTCAAAGTCATGTCACTTTAAAAGTCGCAAATTCCGCTTGGATAAAGAAATAAAGGGGGGAAAAATCGCCACAGAACAAATCCAACATCCGAGGTCGCATGTATAAATAATGAACGTGTCGTCCGAACAATAGCAACATACAGTTTGTTCATTTCGACATATTTAAATCAAGCAGAAAAGTTGACAAAGGCTTGAACAGCGGAGGAGCTCAACAAGGGCTCTATTTACAGACGGAGGAGGAGGAGCGGAGGGCCACTGAATTAATGAATTAAATAGTGCTGAGGCGCTGAAAGTACGTATTTTCATCAACAATGAAAGGCAGGACTGAGACGAGAGGCGAAAGTTTTCAGATAGAGCTGCTAACAAAACTTATTGAGCAGTTCCACTCAAGACAAGACAAGAGATAGATAGAGAGCGAGGAGGATTGAGAGAGAGAGAGAGAGAGAGAGAGAGAGAGAGAGAGAGAGAGAGAGAGAGAGAGAGAGAGAGAGAGAGAGAGAGAGAGAGAGAGAGAGAGAGAGAGGAGGGCATTACATAATAAATCGGTAACATTCGACCGGGACGAGCACCGACTGACACTTAACTTATTACTAGGGTCAAACCGATTATATATAATTTTATTTTTTAGCTTGACCGATTGCATTACAGTTTATGTAGTGCATTTTTTAAAATAGTGTTAATATTTTCAAATGTGTTTATTGAATATTAACATGTAGAATTATGAGACCTCCGCAGCTTGTCACTCTCCTGGCGCGGATGATGATGATGATGATGATGTTGACAAAGTTTTCAGGCACGCGCTTATCTTCATCCTGAACGCCTTCTCAACCTTCGCCTCAAATTCTCCTCTGATGTGTCCTGAAATTGGAAAACAGGAGTAAACTGTTGCAAATCACAAATAGAGCTCTGCGTTCAAGTCCTCAGTTAAAGGTAAGTGCTGAAGTAAACCTTGTGAGGCCTAGCGGTTGTGTGCTGAGATTGTGTTCATCTTTATGAAGCCATAAGCATGCCGTTTATTTGAAATATGTGCAGTTTTGAATCCAACTACATTTCTCATCCTCAAATAAGTCAAGAGATTGAAGAAGATCCTTGCAAGGTAACGTTAGATAACATATGAGAAACAGGTGCATCTCAACAAGATAGGCTACATTATGATTGTTCATGTAAAAACATATCATTGATAACAAGAATCAGGGTGAAATGTACAGATAATGTTTTGAATATTGAGTTAGCTTGCTGACTGGTTGTTCAAATGTCCTGTTACAGGTTTAATTTGTCATTTAATTAGCTAAAAGTAGGCATTTTCTCTTTATATTAGTCAATTGCTTTAGTTTTGTTTGAGTTTGTATTAATATTTTAATGGAAATTTAGTTTACACTAAAAAGCAATGTGTTTCCTTAACTTAATGTTTATGAAAAATTGGACTGTGAAATTGAAATTTGCAAATGCCTTTTTTTTTGCCTGCTTGGTTTTGGTCTTCTCGAATGCATTTGTCTGCAATGAAACAACACTTTAGACATTTAAATATCATGGTTTTTGGTAGCACTTTATTTTATAGTCCTGTTTCCCACGATATACATACAGTAATTACAATAACTGTGTAATAAATATAGGAACTAACCCTGCACTACCCCTAAACCTAACCTTAAGCCATGTAGTTACCTTATATTAGGGAAGTACACTGTAAGTACACATACTGTAAAATAATGGGTAACACTTTATTTGAAGGTGTCATTGTTACAGTGTAATTATACATTACTGAGTAATTGATTAACAACATGTACTTACTCTAGGGTTAGGGTTTGGTTGAGGGTTAGTTGCATGCAATTAAGCTAATTTATTGTTATTACTATGATAAGTGCATGGTTAAAATAAAATGTTATGTGCAACCTGTTTTTTTTTTAAGTAGATTGATTTATGACTAGAACTTTCAGTGTTTAAAGCTTTTAAATTCAATTTAGAGTCACAGTTCGCTGTGCACAATTCGTGAGCTGTAGAGAAATAACATTTACTGATGCAGAGATATAAAAGAGGAGGCATATCTGCCACTATCAAATCATCTCATGGGCTTTGACTGAAACACAACATTGCGTGGGTCTTTTCTTTTTTTTTTGTTCCTTTCGACTGATCTGATACGCTCCCCATGGCTCTTTCTGGCAAACATCACAACTGGCAAAGTTTTTGGATTTCCTCTTTGGACCGTCCCCCCCTTATTCATTTCAACCTGGTTATTTTGGAGATTTAAACCAAGCTATTAATGAAATAAATAGACCAGACCGTGTGCATAAAGATAATGAGCAATAGATTAGTTGGTAGAGATAATGTTGATCTGTTAAGTGTCTCGAGTGATTTCCACTTTGCACTGGATCAAAGACGTCAAGCTCATTTTAGCTGTGACTGTGAGAGGAGGATGATCTGGTGAATAGAGGAAAGTAAAAGTTTGCACAGCCACAGAATACCGATGAGAGACTTTAATATCGGGTCTGTTTTTCGGTCTGTCCATCTCTCAATGTCATTCCTTCCTTCCTTTCCCTCTCTTTCTCTCTCTCACACACACACACACACACACACACACACACACACACACACACACACACACACACACACACACACACACACACACACACACACACACACACACACACACACACACACACACACACACACACACACACACACACACACACACACACATGCAGCAGTGTTATATTTTTCAATGGTGGCTTTTGTCTCTTTCATCTCATCTCCGAACAAAAGGATTCTTGTGTATACAGGACAGGGAGTGAGAAAGAAAGAGATTGAGTGAGGAGAGGAAGAGTGACAAAAAAAGTCAAAGACTGTTTGTAAACTGCGCAGTGAAACCATCATGGCTTCTTTAAGTGTGTGTTTAGACGCTCTCTGTGAGGTCATGTCAGCACACATCAGTGCGTGTTTGAGGATAATCGCAGTCTGGACACGCCTCCTTATTCTTTAGGACTGTTTTGCACATGGTAGGACATCAATAAAGCCATAAAATAGCAAATTGAAATATGTAAATGCTGACAGAATTATCCAGTCCCTCTAAGAAGTGTTGAAGGAGTTTGCATGTATTCTGGACACTTATATCCATAGCAAAATATTCACGCGTGGGCTAAATGTACAAGCATTTATTTATGCCTTTAGATCAAAAGGTCTTTGAGAGCATGAGAAACACACATTCAGTGTCTGCTGTATGTACTGTACTTGTGCGCGCGCGTGTGGGCGCGTACTCGCCGGAGTTCAAAGGTCAGCTGTGTGTACACTCCGCTCATAACACGTGTCTCGGTCTCGGCCGGCGTTAGTATTCAGAGCACAGAGAGCCAGACAGATACCTATTCATTCTCTCAGTGTGAGTCCAGAGAGAGAGAGAGAGGTCAGAGAGGGGAGAGCGTATCAGATCGCCCTGGTACTCATTCATTTCATTTATTTATTTTATTTGGTGCGGAAGGCAGAAGCTGAGTGAGACTAAACTACCACTTAGACATTTAAACAAGAGAGGGAGATCGAGGAGAGAGGGAGATAGTGCATGAATGGAAAGTAAGTCCTTGTGTAACCTCACCAAGATATCGCCGCTGTCCGTATACAACATTTTAGAGGTTGCTCTTGCATAGTTTTTAGTTATGCTTTTGTTTAAATATTAACTTAACTTAACTTAACTTAAATTCACAGATGAAGCACATGATTTAATTGTTTGACATCCAATAAGTGTATAAAGCCATAAAATTAAGGCAGTGGCTATTTACACTATATAGTGAAAATAGCAATAGATTCTATTTACACTATTGTATTTAAAATATGTAAGAAATGCAGTATTTTCTTTGCAATAAGTGTAAATAGTTAGATGCTTTTTATACTTATAAATAGTGGCAGATATTTGCGCCTCAGTATTGTTGCACATTAAACGGTATGGAATACTAACATAGTGTAAATAAATTATTAAATTTATTAAAATGGATTTATTATTAAATTCATGCAGCCTTATTGGGACAATAAAGCCCTCCTTAGACCTAACCCTACCTAACCCCAACTGATAAACACTGTATTTTAAACCCATGTTAGACACTTTATTTCCACCTTTCGAATATTTTCTTCATTTTATTGAAAATAAATGCCTTTCCGATCGGATATGTGTTGGGGAAAGGGAGTAAACCGAGTTCAGCTAAAGGCGAATTCGAACGCGGGTCGAAGTTTCTGTCTCGCACCGTAGCCGTACACTGACAATCCAGCGTCTTTTGTAATCCAGTGTGGCCCAATCAGACGTCAGTGGGCGGAGTCAGTGTAAACAGCCTCGGCCAACAAAATAGTGTAAATACACACTCCGTAAAATTAATTTATAGCTGCTCAGATCATTGATCCTGTAAGAATTTAATGAGCCAAATAAATTTATATAGTGTTTTTCACAACACACATTGTTTCAAAGCAGCTTTACAGAAAAAACATGATGTTAATGTTAAGATGGCTTAGGGTTTCAAACCTTACAGTCGCATTTAGCAGTTTACAGCTGGGCGAATTATTTTTGCAATGATACAAGCAAGCAAGCAGTTGAGATTTGCTATATTACTTTACATTAGGTTACTGTAAAGTAACATGCATGCAGGTAAAGTTAGACATACTTTATATAAGGCGCTGGGTGATATTATACATAAAAAATGAGATTTTAAGATACTCATACTCATATTAAGGTTACAATTGATTGCAGACTGTGAATCTTCTGAAACACTAGAGAAGACTGGCATCTCTTTTCTTAGGAGAAACACTTTTCTCCATCATATTCATATCAGTGTGTTTGAATCAGCTGGTGTTTTGGTGTTTTTTTTTTAGTGGATGTATGAAGTCAGTTCACACAGTTGTCAAAATTAATATAAATAAATAATTTTCAAATAAAAACGCTTCAAAATGAAAGATGACGCATTATGCCCTTTTACACTCACTAAAGATTACATATTTTATTTCTTTAAAAATTATATGATCAGTAAGTTATGTCAACATGTGTTTTTACATTGCTTTAACTCATCAAAATAAGTTAAGCAATTTACACAGTTATACAAGATTCAACTCTTTTTTAAAGTCAGTTTAATGTCATTTAAGTTGAAATTACTTAAACATCCAAGTTGATTCCACTTCAACTTTTAAGGCAGAAATTTTTGTTTTGCAGTGTGCATGTCATGTAATCGATCATTAATTGAACCGTGGACATGTAAAAATGTTGTTAAATTATTTAAATGTTAATCTAAAATCTGTTGTATTTAAATTAGTCAAAGAGGGTTTGACAAAACTTGTTTCAAAGAATTGCTTAAAGGGACAGTTCACCCAAAAATGTCAATTCTGTCATCATTTACTCGCCCTCATGTTGTTTCAAACCTGTTTTTGAACACATAAGAAGATATTTTGGATAATGTTTATAACCATACAGTTGTGGGGAACCATAGAATAATAATAATTAAAAAAACATGGAAGTCAATGGGGTCCAACAACTGTTTGATTATACAAATTCTTCAGGATTTCTTCCTTTGTGTTCAGCAGAAGAAAGAAACTCATACACGTTTGGAGAACTTGCAAAAGTTGTTTGTGATGGAGCTTGAAAAATGTCTCCTATGATATTGGTTCTTGACTAGTGTATGATTGTGTTGTGAAGCTTTATTCCAGGAAAATTTGGGATTAACAACATCCAGATAGACAATGTGTGGCTTGCATACACACACACCGTTTGAGCTAAAGCCGTAGAAGAAGCGAGTGGAAAAACTGTCCAAGAAGCATCTACCTTGAAACTCAGCTTCAAAAAGCGATTGGGAAACGTCATCCTCAGTGTACCAGAGGAATGCAGAGAATATTGTGCTGTTCTTTTCATGATTTCTCCCTGTGGTTTTGTGTTTTTGGATGGTGAATACGTTTTTTTCAAGCGAGCATGGCATGTGAGTGGGTCGGCGTTGACGACTAGCCTTTAAATGAGAAAGGGCAGCTGCTTCCACTGTGTGAATGAGGGGCATTTAATGCGCTCGGGCAGCTGGAGGGTCTGAATGTAGAGTTAAGAAAGAGTAACGGACCACCACAGTCGGTTGGCCCCCCAAACCCGGCGCTGTACCCCTCCCTGGCACACATAATCCTCGGGAGAGAAGGATGCGCTCACGTGTCCGTGATAAAGATCGCTGAGAAAGCTGCTTTCCCCGTTTGGGCTTTGAGAGAAGACGTTTTTTAGATACTCGCTAATGTGTCCCTAATGTGTCTCTCTTTACTTGGACGATGCACGTCTTTCAGATAGAGCTCAGATAGAGATAGAGCGCCCTCTCTTCCCATGTGACATTTCTCCTATAATGCTACGGGACGACCTAGTTTTTACCCAAGGCGATAAGGTGACAGGTTTCTCACAGGGAGGATAACTGTTGGATCCGTTAATTCGTTAAAAAGAACAACTTTTTATGTCAGAGTAACTTGATACGGGTAGTTTTTGTAACTTACTGTGGCTTGTATGAGTCCCATCTGATAACGTCCAATGCTGCCCAGATAAATGAGAGAAATGAGTGGAATTATTAGCAAAGTATAAATGGCAATATGAAACTGAAAGATCATAATAGTATTGCTGCAAAACACTTGTTATAACTGCAAACAGTGAACACTCAAATAAAGACATATCTGGGTTACATTTTACCCCGCACATACCTTTACAACATAAAACATGAACTATTTTAATGAGATATTCTTGCATTAAAGAAAATGTATTGCAATAAAGAAAATTATTGAAAATAATAAGGAGATGGCAACACCAGACACATTACATTCTAAGACGATTAAGATAAACATGCTAAATTGACTTGGAAATAATGCCACAATGCAAAACATTATTTTTTAATGTCTTTTGTATGAAAACCTGCCATGTTGACTGTCATTTTACACTTTAATAGTGAGTAAAAAAGTACACTATGTTTGTAATGAAGGCAGAAGTTATTGTGCTATGAAGTGTCTGTGAACTGTTTAATATGGTGAATAGTTTGCTTCATCGAGAGATTGTAAAATGTAAAACTCATGCCGTTGAACTCTGTGAAAGAGTCGCTTTTATGAGGCACATTATTAGCTGTTGATCATTGTCTGCTCATCGCAGTGTTTGTCACAGAAAAACTTACTTGCAAGTTACTTGCATAATTGAAAATTAACCTAATTTGTTTCCACGTCACAACCAGTGTGCTTAAAGCTTTAGCAATCTTTATCTAGAGTTTTAGATGAACAACTTCACCATCAATCAACATCAGCTATATATTTTAAAGGAGTTAAAGTCCCCTGTAGTCAATCATTTTATCCATTAAAACTCATCTTTGATCAGCAAAATGACATATTTAAAAAAAAAAATCTGGAAAAATTTTGATTAAAGCTGCAGTCCGTAGCTTTTTTGGGGTTAAAAATGATCCAAAATACATATTTGAGAAAATACATAACCAGCCAGTGTTCAAAAGTCTCTGCTTGCCGTAGCTCGATTCAAAGCGGTAAGCTTGTAATAATGTTTTTAATTCCAGTGGTACTGGTGGATTTCCGCAGGAGATTCGAGCATGTCTTTGCGTCATTACGTCACATCTGTACACACACATCTGTACACACACATCTGTACACACACACATCTGTACACATAAAGGAGTCTCGGCTAGTATACGCTGTATTGCGTGTGAGGATGTTGGAGGTGGAGATTTAGCCTTTTCTAACAGCACTTGATATAATTAAACTTATCAATTTGATGGCGGATCCAGAAAGGTTCAAACGACGATCACCAGTGACAACTGGAGACTCACCCGCTGTAAAATGCAAAAGACTTTGTTCGGACTTTGGAGTGGCTGCAGAAAAAAAGAGACTGCAACCGGACCCATGCGAAAACAAGGATAATATCGGAAGGACATTACATGATGTAGTCACGCAATGCTGACGTTGTTAACATTAACAATTTGAGAACAAAGTATAATTTACACGGTTTTGCGTGATGATAACTTATAAGCGATTGTTAGATTTAATCAGCGTGATTTACTGCAATGTCAGAACCAGAACAAAAGTGGATGTTTCTTACTAGTTCAGACATTTTCCGGTGAAAATTATTATGTTGGTCATACTTCCAAAGAGAATAAGCTGTGATTCTGAATCCACACCGGCGGCGACTGACACACACACTCTCCTCAAACATTGTGTTCATCCGCGCTGTGCCGTGTCGAGGGTGTTGAACTACAACTCACGTAAAGTTGATAATTCCGCGAATGACTGCAATTGCAGATTTCGAACAGAGATGGCGACAAAGAGGGAAAACGCCGGACTGCAGCTTTAAATAATTAGCAAGAATTTTACTGTCGCATTCTACTGTCTTTTACAGTTAAAATGACATACATTTTTACTGTGTATATCAATTTTTAAAGGAGTTAATTTGCAGACTTTTATACTCTGAGTTATAAATAAACTATTTAGCGATTTTTCATTTACCATGATCAGTGAACCCGCACACTTTAAAGCATGACTCTCTTCCCCCCAGCTATGACCTCAGCCACGCCTCCTTCCTCCCGTAGCCCCTCCCCTCAGAAGGTCTGCCACTCACAGACTCAGACAGACGTCCTAAAGCCACTCCTGGGCGGAGGAGGCGGGGCTTCACCAGGAAACGGGCCTGCGGCGTTGAGGCGTCGCCGACGGGTGCTATCTAAAGATGGGCGGAGCAATGTTCGCATCGAACACGTCAGTGGCCGAGGGGCGCTTTACCTGCGTGACCTCTGGACGACCTTTCTGGACATGCAGTGGCGCTACAAGCTTTTCCTGTTCTCCGCCACCTTCGCCGGCACCTGGTTTGTCTTCGGAGTGCTGTGGTACTTAGTGGCACTTGTGCATGGAGATTTACTAGGTGAGGATGCTCTTCAAGAGTGCCTTAAAGGTGCAGTGTGTAGATTTTAGCGGCATCTAGCTGTTCGGTTGTGAGTTTGCACTAAGGGCTCAGCCCACTGCTCACCCCTCCCTTTCGAAGAAGCTACGGTGGCTAAAACGGGACAAACATATCGTCGTCCGAGACAGCAGAGAATAGCCAGAGTAAGCCAAGAGTGTGTAACATTGTCACTGTTTCTGTACCACAGTCCATTATAAACCACATCATGGATAAAGTTTACAAAGCCATAGTCAGGTGAGGATCAAGGGTCTTAATATATAATATAATAATAGTAATCAGCTGATTGTCTCACAAACGTAACCAGCACATTTCTCCCCACATAGCAAACCCATAATACAGCGAGGGAGAAGAACCACATGAAACTATGCAACTATATATTTTTTCTAACAGGGTAGTAAAAGTTTAGCTGGCTAATATGAGCTGTTACTGTGGCTGAGCTGGTTAAAGCGTAAAGCCTTGTTTAAACTCGACGCGTCCGCATGAGCCCAAAGGTGCGCGCGGCAAAAATGACATGTTTGTTACAGCACGCGCCTCCAAATCCCCTAGACACCTTTTACTACACACAAATTAATAAATAATAATGAATAAAAATATAGTTTTTTTTTCTCTGGTTTTGAAAACTCTTTGCGATCGGCTTAAAATGCTTCCAAGATCGACTTGTCGACCGCGATCGACGGGTTGGTGACTCCGGTAACGTTACTGTTTTACGGTCAATGACAATAGTACTAATCAGCCGTCTCACGAACGTAACCAGCACATTTATCCCCACATAGCAAAGCCATAACACAGCGAGGGAGAAGAACTAAGTTACATGAAACAGTCCAACTACATATTTTACACCACTGACAAGGGAAAACTCACTACTCGCGGTGTCTATGGCTTCTAGCTTTCTGCGGCTTCTAGCTTTCTGTGGTATGAACAAAACGCGCTCTGTAGCGCTGTGTGTTCGCTGTGTGTTCGCTGTCGGCTACGGTAGAAACATGACGTCACAATATGTCGACCTTCATAGAAGGGGGTCCCGCGGTTATGTAGATATAAATGCCTCATTCTAAGGTAATAAAAACATAACGGTTCATTAAGTAAGGTCTTTATACACCACTGAAAACATAGTTATGGATCTTATATTGCATTTCTGTCAATAGATCCTCAGAAATATTACACATTGCACCTTTAAATCACATCTTATGTACATAAATATTAATATGATGTTGTATCGTTGCTATTTCTGGGTCTTGTCCTTTCTCACCAGAGTTTGACCCTCCATCCAATCACACGCCGTGTGTGATGCAGGTCCAAACTCTGACGGGAGCATTTCTTTTCTCCCTGGAATCGCAAACTACGATCGGTTACGGCTTTCGCTGCATCACTGAGGAATGTCCGCTTGCCATCATCCTGCTTATTGTCCAGCTTGTCATCACCATGGTGATGGAGATCTTCATCACTGGAACCTTCCTTGCTAAGGTACCACTCTCGAAATCTGGGTAAACACACAGTGTTTTAGTTGCCATTGTAATGTTTTTTCAATCAAATGCACTATTTTAACGCTGTTTTTCAATGTAAATGCGCTTAGACGGACGTCTTTAACCATTGCGCTCGCGTCTCACGTCTTCTGCAGCATCTCGTGCATGACACAGCGTTATAAAAAAACAGGAATGTGATTTTTCCGCATTTATTCGGATTTTCGGATTATCCGACCTTAAAAGCGTCAAACGTTAATTGCATAAATCAAATAAAAAATTGTTTTAGGGGTGGCTGGTTACTGTATGATGATTGATATTGTGAAATGGACTTAATTATTAAATAAACTGCAAAATGTCATGTTTTTAAAACGTGCCAGTTGCCTGGTAAGTTTTTTTTAAATGAAATTTGACAATGCGTGGTTGTGAGAATGTGATATGGCTTAGTGCGATCATCAAATAACAATGGTTGTGATGTAATTATATAAATATATAGTCTAAAGCGCTGCATGTTTCGCAGTAAAGCACAGCACTGTGTTCATTTGCAGATTCAGTGCGACTCTGTGTGTTTGAGTCGCCTATAATTTGCATTTTGAACGGAACATGTGCCAACTATCTTCCCAAATTTGTAATGAGAATCGTTTATTAATCTGTTGTTGTCAACAAAGAGAAGTGTAAGATCTCCCTGCGGTTTCCCGCCAAAATAAAAGCTCAATGATTTAAGGTTTGAAAGCGAAGAATGAACTAGGGCTGGACGATTTTGGCTAAAATCATAATCGCGATTAATCGCACAAGTTACCTCGATTAGGATTTTTTTTATTTATTTTTTTATTCTCATATGTCACTGGCAAGGCTTGTACTGTAAATATGTTCACGGTTATTTTTTCTAATGAAAGTGCATAATCCTATCTTTGTGATTCTAAAATAAGGAAACACACTAGGGGTGTAACGGTACACAAAAATCACGGTTCGGTACGTACCTCGGTTTTAAAGTCACGGTTCGGTACGTTTTCGATACAGCAAAAAGTAAGAAATGCCAGAGAAATGTCCTATTTGTTAAAAGAAAAAAATATTTTTTAAATAATTGTGAGTTTTCCTACATCTTGAAACTTTCAGGTTTATAAATGGGTGTCATCTTTGAAGGATGAACAAATAATGTTTTGGTCATCACATTAAAAATAACATTTAAATATATGAAGAGTTCAGATGCAAAAGCCATTTGAAATTTTCTTTATTTTTATCAAGCTTGTATATTTAAGTTCAGTAATTTCACTTAAATGGCAATGAAGATTACCTATTAATTGTCATTTGAGTGAAATTACTGAACTTAAATATACAAGCTTCATAAAAATGATCATTCTAGAAGAAAATTTCAAATGGCACTTAGAGGCTTTTGCATCTGAACTCTTCAAATATTTATTTATATAATATTTGAGTTTTGAAGTGCTGGAAAAAGATGTGTGAAGTACTTGAAAGCATTTCACTATTCCAGCCAAACTGATTACAGTTATGGTGAATGTTGCTGGTCTGTGGATGTAAAGTATTACTAACTTAGTTCATTCACGGCACAATATTTCTCCTGGTGTCCACGTCAGCGCTGTTTGATCTAATAGAGATCTACGGTTAATAACGGAGAAATGTGAATGCTTCTCACTAGATCTCGCAGCGATGTTATTACTTCAGTGGCGAATTCAAATGTTTTCTTCACTGGATCTCTTAGCGCTGTGTAGTGACTAGGGGTGGAACGGTACATGTATTCGTATTGAACCGAAACGGTACGGGCGTCACGGTTCGGTGCACGAATTTGCACGCAGAATACACGGTACAAATAAAAAAAACCTCTTAAATAGCGATGAATTTCGCTCTATTCGCTTTTGGTGTGACTGTGAACGGAGCAATGAACAGGCTGCGATCAAGATTGCAATGCAGGAGTGTGTGTGTGTGTCTGTGTGCGCGAGAGAGAGAGAGAGAGAGAGAGAGAGAGAGAGAGAGAGAGAGAGAGAGAGAGAGAGAGAGAGAGAGAGAGAGAGGCGCGATGAACAGTGTGTGTGTGTGCGAGAGAGAGAGAGGCGCGATCAACAGTGTGTGTGTGTGTGTGTGCGCGCGCGTGCGAGAGAGAGAGGCGCGGTGTGTGTGTGTGTGTGTTCGCGCGCGCGAGAGAGAGAGGCGCGGGCGCGAATCGCGCGATGAACAGTGTGTGTGTGTGTGTGTGCGCGCGCGTGCGTGCGAGAGAGAGAGGCGCGGGCGCGAATCGCGCGATGAACGCGATGAACAGTGTGTGTGTGTGTGTGTGTGTGTGTGTGTGTGTGTGTGTGAGTGTGAGTGTGTGTGAGAGAGGCACGGGCGATCGAACAGTGGAAACGTAAAAACATACTCCGTCATTTTTTTCATACAGGACATCATTAAAACTGCAAATTGTTTACTTATATTTGTGTACACTCGCAATAAAACACAACATTGTGCTTTTGTCACACTCTAAACTCTTGTCAAACTGTAACCTACACCTGTTAACAAAAGTTTTTATGGTAGTATTATTTTATACGGAAATCAATTATTTATAATTCAGATGAGAATAAAGTTAGTTAATTAAAATGAAGGAAAACAAATATCTTGATCTGAAATAGCAAATTAATTTTAAATTCATTCAGGTACAATTACCAAACATATCTCAAGGTCTTTTCGTCTTTTTAATAATTTAATTAATAAACTAATTATATAAAACTACTGTCAGTGCACTACAAATAAACTGGTTCTATGCCTTTATTAATAAAACTTATTTAAAAAAATACAAGGCTTAAGACATTTATAAAAATGCCTTCTGCATTTTTGCTTTGCTTTTCACTCCCTTGTACCGAAATCGTACCGAACCGTGATGTCTGAACCGAGGTATGAACCGAACCGTGACTTCTGTGTACCGTTCCACCCCTAGTAGTGACAGTGTCGCTTGATCGAGATCGGCTCCTGCTGCACAGATGTTGCTGGTCCGAACTCCGAACTGATAAACGATCCGTGAAGCACATGAGTAGCGCAGTTTCGTTCCGCTTTCTTTACGCTTGCCATTTGATGTTGCGCAACGTTGTGGTGATCGCGCCAGCGCGAATTTTGTCGGTAGGAAAAATGGTCCAAGGAATCGTTCGGTTTGTATGCGTACCGAACCGGAAGCCTCGAACCGAAACGGTTCAATACGAATACATGTACCGTTACACCCCTAAAACACACAGATAGCTTTTAATGCTTATTTATTAAATATTTCAAACAATTGAATCAAACAAAGCATACAATGCTTGAAATAAAAACGTCTTATAAAAAAGTCATTAAGTTTTAATGTAAAAATAAAGTTTCCTAAAAATTTAGAAAATAGTTATTTTTGTAAACAAAATTAATTATTGTAAATATTGCCATCTTAAAAGTAAAATATAACTTGTATAAAACTAAAAAACGAATCATTTTCATATTGTGTAGCATTTGTAAATGCTTGTGTTATCGAAACCTGCTTTGTGGAGTGGAGGCACTTGTTGCTGGGCGTTTGTCAGTCTCTCTCTTTTTTCGCGTGTTTCTTTGGTACAAGCGGCTCCTGTTGCTGAGTTGACTCAGTGTTTGAGTTCCCTTTCACACAGTGATTCCGGAAAATACACGGATAAAGTGACCCGGGTTCGTTTGACGTTGGTTCATTCACACTGCTAGCCTGGGTTTCCCCATACTGCCTTACCGCAGCGCGATTCAATTCACGCTGAAAGGCAGTCTGGATACCATGGCCAGATTTTTCGCCTCATTTAGGGAACCAATCACAGAACGGGAAGGGAGCAGCAAGACGATGACGCGTCTATGCGACACACCGAAGCAGTTTGTTTATACCTATGGATCAAACATGGCAGCAGACGCGAAGTTACCTTTCGATGCAGCCTTAAGCCCCGTTCACACTACACGCGACCAAGCGACGCGATACCATTCATTTCAATGGGGAGCTGGCGATTTCCGGCGACACGCGCGACAGCGACCGGATGGGGCGTGTCTGGCGACGCGACAAAGTTGAGATCTGTTTAACTTTATGCAAATGAGGAGCGACTTTCGGGAGCGACAACCAATAGGAGCGGAGCGCATATGATCCTTCTCCACATCATTGGATGTCATTCATAAAGCCAACCAGTAGTGGGAACTCCCACTAGCGACCTCATCGCCAGCCACTGGCGACATGCAGCGACAAAGTCGCTTGTAGTGTGAACGGGGCTTTACGGCCGTTTCACATATAGGTTTCACACCGCAAGCGTGAGCGGCATATGAGCAGCGCGTCAGCGTCGTCACTGCAGCTGCAGACGCGCGAGAGTATTCACACTGGAAGCGTTTGTACAGTGTCACAGCAGTGGCTCCAAAGCTACATATCGTTAGCCTCATAGCATAATTGCTTAACGTTAAGTCATTTTGTGTTTTTTCTTGTTTTCCAAAGACATTGAAATATGACTTCGGCATTATATATAAGCGAGCAATTCTTTACAAAAACAACTATACATTTGTTTTTAGAAGTTGGTCATTTTATAACATTGATAGTCTTGAAAGTTTGTAATGGGGAGGTGTACAACATTCGCATATAAGTTAAATGTAATACAACAAAACAACCCAGAAAATGGCTCCAATCTATTAGTTTCAGTCATACTTTCGATGTTTACAAGACCGCACTCGCGGATAAAAAACAAAACACACAAATAAACCACACACTCGGGTTTGATTTGGGTTGTGCTAGCCTGTAGCTGTCTGTGTGTTAACGTTACATGAACTAAAAGAACGTTTATATATAATATTTTCTGGCTAGTTTACTTTACTTTTTATTTATTTATATAATACACAACTTTCACCCAAACTGAATAATTAAAAACAAGTTTTTACCGGGTAAATCTTCTATAAATATTTTAGAGTCTTTATTTTCTTTTATTTGCCTACTCAAGTTCTTGTTAAAACTCACTAGACATGCTAATTCTGTGCATTTTGGGCAATTTTTGTGTGAAATCA